TTCGTTTTTGGGTTGAGGTTCGTTTTTGGGTTTGGGGTTCGTTTTGGGTGCGGGTTTCGTTTTTGGGTTGGCGTTCGTTTTGGGTTTGGGGTCGTTTTGGTTTGGCGTTCGTTTTTGGGTTGGCGTTCGTTTTTGGTTCGGTTCGGTTCGGATCGGTCGGTTCGGATCGGTTCGTTTTTGGGTTAGGGTTCGTTTTTGGGTTAGGGGTTCGTTTTGGGTTTGGGTTCGTTTTTGGGTTTGAGGTTCGTTTTTGGGTTTGGGGTTCGTTTTTGGGTTTGGGGTTCGTTTTTGGGTTTGGCGTTCGTTTTTGGGTTTGGAGTTCGTTTTTGGGTTTGGCGTTCGTTTTTGGGTTTGGCGTTCGTTTTTGGTTCGGTCGTTCGGTTCGGATCGGTTCGGTTCGGATCGGTTCGGATCGGTTCGGTTCGGTTCGGATCGGTTCGGTTCGGATCGGTTCGTTTTTGGGTTAGGAGTTCGTTTTTGGGTTTGGGGTTCGTTTTGGGTTTGAGGTTCGTTTTGGGTTTGGGGTTCGTTTTTGGTTTGGCGTTCGTTTTTGGGTTTGGGGTTCGTTTTTGGGTTTGGCGTTCGTTTTTGGGTTTGGCGTTCGTTTTGGTTCGGTTCGGTTCGGTTCGGATCGGTTCGGTTCGGATCGGTTCGGATCGGTTCGGTTCGGATCGGTTCGGTTCGGATCGGTTCGGTTCGGATCGGTTCGGTTCGGATCGGTTCGTTTTTGGGTTAGGGGTTCGTTTTTGGGTTTGGGGTTCGTTTTGGGTTTGAGGTTCGTTTTTGGGTTTGGGTTCGTTTTTGGGTTTGGGGTTCGTTTTTGGGTTTGGCGTTCGTTTTGGGTTTGGAGTTCGTTTTTGGGTTTGGCGTCGTTTTTGGGTTTGGCGTTCGTTTTGGTTCGGTTTCGGTTCGGATCGGTTCGGTTCGGATCGGTTCGGTTCGGATCGGTTCGGTTCGGTCGGATCGGTTCGGTTCGGATCGGTTCGTTTTTGGGTTAGGGGTTCGTTTTTGGGTTTGGGGTTCGTTTTTGGGTTTGAGGTTCGTTTTTGGGTTTGGGTTCGTTTTTGGGTTTGGCGTTCGTTTTTGGGTTTGGCGTTCGTTTTGGTGTGGCGTTCGTTTTTGGTTCGGTTCGGTTCGGATCGGTTCGGTTCGGATCGGTTCGGATCGGTTCGGTTCGGTTCGGATCGGATCGGATCGGATCGGTTCGGTTCGGATCGGTTCGGATCGGTTCGGATCGGTTCGGATCGGTTCGGTTCGGTTCGGATCGGTTCGTTTTTGGGTTAGGGGTTCGTTTTTGGGTTTGGGGTTCGTTTTTGTTTTGAGGTTCGTTTTGGGTTTGGGGTTCGTTTTTGGGTTTGGGGTTCGTTTTTTTGGGTTTGGCGTTCGTTTTTGGGTTTGGCGTTCGTTTTTGGTTCGGTTCAGTTCGGATCGGTTCGGTTCGGATCGGTTCGGTTCGGATCGGTTCGGTTCGGATCGGTTCGGATCGGTTCGGTTCGGGTCGGTTCGGTTCGGATCGATTCGTTTTTGGGTTTCGGGTTTCGGGTTCGTTTTGGGTTTCGGGGTTCGGTTTCGGGTTTCGGGTTCGTTTTTGGGTTTGGGTTCGTTTTGGGTTTCGGGTTCATTTTTGGGTTTCGGGTTCGTTTTTGGGTTTCGGGTTCGTTTTTGGGTTTCGGGTTCGTTTTTGGGTTTCGGGTTCGTTTTTGGGTTTGGCGTTCGTTTTTGGGTTTGGCGTTCGTTTTTGGTTCGGTTCAGTTCGGATCGGTTCGGTTCGGTTTGGTTCGGATCGGTTCGGTTCGGATCGGTTCGGTTCGGATCGGTTCGGTTCGGATCGTTTGGTTCGGATCGGTTCGGTTCGGTTCGGATCGGTTCGGTTCGGTTCGGTTCGGATCGGTTCGGTTCGGATCGGTTCGGATCGGTTCGGTTCGGATCGGTTCGTTTTTGGGTTAGGGGTTCGTTTTTGGGTTTGGGGTTCGTTTTTGGGTTTGAGGTTCGTTTTTGGGTTTGGGGTTCGTTTTTGGGTTTGGGGTTCGTTTTTGGGTTTGGCGTTCGTTTTTTGGTTTGGAGTTCGTTTTTGGGTTTGGCGTTCGTTTTTGGGTTTGGCGTTCGTTTTTGGTTCGGATCGGTTCGGTTCGGATCGGTTCGGTTCGGATCGGTTCGGTTCGGATCGGTTCGTTTTTGGGTTAGGGGTTCGTTTTGGGTTTGGGGTTCGTTTTGGGTTTGAGGTTCGTTTTTGGGTTTGGGGTTCGTTTGTGGTTTGGGCGTTCGTTTTTGGGTTTGCGTTCGTTTTTTGGGTTTTGGCGTTCGTTTTTTGTGTGTGGCGTTCGTGTTTGGCGTGTGGTCGGATCGTTTTTTGGTTTTCGGTTCGGATCGGTTCGGTTCGGATCGGTTTCGGTTCGGATCGGTTCGGTTCGGATCGGTTCGGTTCGGATCGGATCGGTTCGGTTCGGATCGGTTCGGTTCGGATCGGTCGGTTCGGATCGGTTCGGATCGGTTCGGTTCGGATCGGTTCGGTTCGGATCGGTTCGGATCGGTTCGGTTCGGATCGGTTCGGTTCGGATCGGTTCGTTTTTGGGTTAGGGGTTTCGTTTTTGGGTTTGGGTTCGTTTTTGGGTTGAGGTTCGTTTTTGGGTTTGGGTTCGTTTTTGGTTTGGGGTTCGTTTTTGGGTTTGGCGTTCGTTTTTGGTTCGGTTCAGTTCGGATCGGTTCGGTTCGGATCGGTTCGGTTCGGATCGGTTCGGTTCGGATCGGATCGGTTCGGATCGGTTCGGTTCGGGTCGGTTCGGTTCGGATCGATTCGTTTTTGGGTTAGGGGTTCGTTTTGGGTTTGGGGTTCGTTTTTGGTGGTTTTTGGGTTGGGGTTCGTTTTTGGGTTTGGGGTTCGTTTTTGGGTTTGGGGTTCGTTTTTGGTTTGGCGTTCGTTTTTTGGTTCGGTTCAGTTCGGATCGGTTCGGTTCGGATCGGTTTCGGATCGGTTCGGTTCGGTTCGGTTCGGATCGGTTCGGTTTGGGATCGGTTCGTTTTTGGGTTAGGGGTTCGTTTTTGGGTTTGGGGTTCGTTTTTTGGGTTTTGGCGTTCGTTTTTGGGTTTGGCGTTCGTTTTTGGTTCGGTTCAGTTCGGTTTCGGATCGGTTCGGTTCGGATCGGTTCGGTTCGGATCGGTTCGGTTCGGATCGGATCGGTTTCGGATCGGTTCGGGTCGGTTCGGTTCGGATCGATTCGTTTTTGGGTTAGGGGTTCGTTTTTGGGTTTGGGGTTCGTTTTTTGGGTTTGAGGTTCGTTTTGGGTTTGGGGTTCGTTTTGGGTTTGGGGTTCGTTTTGGGTTTGGGGTTCGTTTTTGGGTTTGGCGTTCGTTTTGGGTTTGGAGTTCGTTTTTGGGTTTGGCGTTCGTTTTTGGGTTTGGCGTTCGTTTTTGGTTCGGTTCGGTTCGGATCGGTTCGGCTCGGATCGGATCGGTTCGGTTCGGATCGGTTCGGTTCGGATCGGTTCGGTTCGGATCGGTTCGGATCGGTTCGGATCGGTTCGGTTCGGATCGGTTCGGTTCGGATCGGATCGGTTCGGTTCGGGTCGGTTCGGTTCGGATCGATTCGTTTTTGGGTTAGGGGTTCGTTTTTGGGTTTGGGGTTCGTTTTTGGGTTTGAGGTTCGTTTTTGGGTTTGGGGTTCGTTTTTTGGGTTTTGGGTTCGTTTTTGGGTTTGGGGTTCGTTTTTGGGTTGGCGTTCGTTTTGGGTTTGGAGTTCGTTTTTGGGTTTGGCGTTCGTTTTTGGGTTTGGTGTTCGTTTTTGGTTCGGTTCGGTTCGGATCGGTTCGGTTCGGATCGGTTCGGTTCGGATCGGTTCGGTTCGGATCGGTTCGGATCGATTCGTTTTTGGGTTAGGGGTTCGTTTTGGGTTTGGGGTTCGTTTTTGGGTTTGGGGTTCGTTTTTGGGTTTGAGGTTCGTTTTTGGGTTTGGGGTTCGTTTTGGGTTTTGGGTTCGTTTTTGGGTTTGGGGTTCGTTTTTGGGTTTGGCGTTCGTTTTTGGTTCGGTTCAGTTCGGATCGGTTCGGTTCGGATCGGTTCGGTTCGGATCGGATCGGTTTGGTTCGGGTCGGTTCGGTTCGGATCGATTCTTTTTGGGTTTGGCGTTCGTTTTTGGGTTTGGCGTTCGTTTTTGGTTCGGTTCGGTTCGGATCGGTTCGGTTCGGATCGGTTCGGCTCGGATCGGTTCGGTTCGGATCGGTTCGGTTCGGATCGGTTCGGTTCGGATCGGTTCGGTTCGGATCGGTTCGTTTTTGGGTTAGGGGTTCGTTTTTGGGTTTGAGGTTCGTTTTTGGGTTTGGGGTTCGTTTTTGGGTTTGGGGTTCGTTTTTGGGTTTGGCGTTCGTTTTTGGGTTTGGCGTTCGTTTTTGGGTT